CAGCAGGGCAAATTTTTCATAGCATGGAGCCGCACAATCGCCTGCTAATTCCTACAATTCAAATTGTTTTTAAAGACAACCGCAGGGACTGTTTCAAAAGTTGGCAACCTCGCTTGCCAATTCAGCACCTGGCTCTTGTACATCCAGGCAATTTCTGATTTTTGTTTTCCTTGCACTGAATAAATGCCAGAATATCTCAAGGGAGAATGATCCTGCTTGGCCATATGCTTCCAACTCTCCTTTTTACCTTCACCTCTAGCAGGTTGAGATTGCAGGGATTAGACTCTGACCCCCAGCCTCACCCCAGATACTGCTGAGGCACGGCTGTGTTTTGGGTGGTGTGCTGGAAATTTAACACAGCGATATCTAGAGGGCCACAGGTCCCCATCCCTCATGTTAAAAGGTATACTTATTATAGAACAATATGACTCTTTGTCCAACGTTTTTTTCCCCCCACAATTTCGAGGGTGTCCTTTGGTGCCAGTTATGTCTAGGATGCTTAATGTAAGTGCTTAATTTACGTTGAATGTGTTGGCTGCGCTAGCAGCAATCCTGTCTGTTCCTTCCCCCACATATTAGTTTTGTAGCCTACTTTTCTTTTTTAGCATACCATATGCTTTAGTTACTGATACATCCTTTATGCACTTGTCATGGTGGACCAAACAGAGGGCGTTGCTGTAACTCGTCTGTGTGTTTTCTTTCTTTCTTTCTTTTTCTCATGGAACGTGAGAGCTGCAAAAGAACTCCTAGCTTGTAGCAAAGCTGTTCTTGCAATGACTCCTTGTGTCTTTCCCGGACTAGGGCCTTTTCCCGAGGTGCTAATGGCAGCGTGCGTGGACCTCCCGCCGAGCTCAGGTTTTCTTCCAGGCATCTTGGATTCCATCACGTTTCTCTTGTTCTAGTCTCATTAATACATGAATAGTTAACCTACTCACTGTGCAACTGCACCTGCCTGTCTTCTCAGCCTGACACTTGCCCCCTCCCCATCCCGCCACTCCCTCTGCATTTTATCCTCCCAGCAAATGTTGGGCCCTGTTGGAAAGAATTTAATCCCTGTTGAACTTGTCTTTACAAGCAGGAGTCTGTAGCCTTGGGGGATGCATCTGGCTGCTTGGGGGGTGGGCATGACGATGGGAACTAGTGTGGTATATTGTCCTTGGGATGGGTAGAGGAATGGGGGCACAGGGGAAGGTTTGGTGGGCTGAAGGGGATTGGCTACTGCTTGGTGGGTTGTCTGCATTTGGGAGTGGCTGGAATTGTGTGTCTTTGTGCTTTAATCGCAATACTACAGGTGCTGTGTGCTAAGACAAGCAGAATCACGGTCCTGTTCCCTAGTCTATAAGCATGTTGACAGAGGGTGCGTGCATTGGATGAGCCAGGCAGATATCACTCTGGATAGGGTTCAGAAAGGAAAAGGGGAGCCATAGGAAGAAGGTTGATCTGAGTCTGATTCCCTGCCAATTCCTGAGGGAAACTGAGTTCCCACAGTCTCTAGGCTAGGAAAAGCAGCTGAAGAGACATGTTTCTGAATGGAAGTTCAGGAGAGAAAAGGTTGGAGAAGACTGACTTCATTGCCATGCTTCAGCTCAAAGCTCCTGCCTCCCACAGCTGCTTTTCATCTTTAAAAGATGGGGAAATGTTACATTCGTCTGCTGTGCAATTCCTGGTTTGGTGCTGAATGAAACACGTTGCTATACACCGAATAAACTCTTCCAGACAAAATATAGAAGCATGCATCAGATTCCAATTCAGATTGAGCCCTTCTATTTTTGGAAAAATAAACGCCAGCTTTCAGAATTTGAAAATTTAGAAAATGCTTGAGAAGGAAGATACTGTATTTTTCCAGCCCAAGGGCATAATCAAATGCAAATTAAAAATGCATAATACACATATTAAATTAGCAACAGAATAATATATGTTCCAGATAGTTTGACTTAAAATAGGCTTGGTTTTTATAGACGGCAGATGAGAGAGCAGCAAACCTATTTATGGATTGTGCCACTTTAGATGCAATAAGGGCTCATATAACTGAACGCTCAGTTCCATATGAAATAATAATTAATCCCTACACGTAGATGTTACGGAAAATTTAATCTTGCCTTTTGCTACATGCTAGCGTTCTTCTGTGGAAGTGTACGCCAAACTCAGTTTTCTCAGTGTATTTGGCTATTCAAGCAAATTCAAGTATTTCAGACCGGGACTAAATTAATTCATTACAGGCATGTAGGTGGCATTACAAGCATGTAGGTAAGCATTCAGTGGTGTATCCCTCCCACTCTGAACTCAATGCACTTTCCACCATATACAGACCATGCACATTATCTCTGACCGTTCAGGCACACTTTCCATTCATACACAGTTAGCCTTGTTTTGTGATTAATCTCTCATGCTGTGACCATTGCTATCTCAGCTGATCATATGACTACTGCTTTAAATAAACTGGTCTGGTTTGCGCATTATGTTTTGCTCAAAGGGGACTTGCTTGCTTATATAAAAGTAGCCATCATGATTTGTAAAACATGGTTTATCACTTAGCATGATGTGAATCCAGCCAATCATGTGTTTAAAGTTGTAGCAGACCCACAAGTTCTCTTTGTACGTGCCTGTTATTTTTCTGGTAGTTGCATCCATATGTGATCATGCATGCCCCTAATAGGCCATGCCCTCTCATGGCTAATCTGTAGCAGGAATTTTGAAGACAAGTTCAACTCCCTCCCCACCCCGGCCAGATTAATGGCTTTTCTGGCTCTTCTGTTCCTCCCCCAATCCTTCGGCACTTCAGACATTGCAAGATAGAGGCTGTGCACATTTGCTCTGTTCTCAGAATGCTGCATCGTGGAAGTTGCATTGTGGAATAAGAAGGGCCATCTGCATGGAGAAGAGAGAGGTGTGGTTTTGGGGTGGTTCTCTATCACTGGGTACCCTGATCTTCTCCACAACATTCTCATAAATTATATCCTCTCTCAGCTAGTCTTGCTTCTCTCCACTAACAGTTTTCCCTGTGCTGCCATGTGTCTGTCCTGTTTGCTAACCCAAGACAAAATGTTTGCTGGTGCATTGAAATATGTTCTCAGTGAATTCTTTTTCTGGGGGTGGCAGGAGGGGAGGTTGGAAAGAAGAAAATCCCGTTCCCTTTAAAAGGGAAATAATGGATGTGGTATTGAAATTGAGATTTGTGAGAGCGAGGAAGAACTCTGGATTTCTCAGAGCTTGCACATCATTAGGCAAAATGAACGTGGAGTCATATAACTGGGGCAGGAGGCTCTTAGTATGACACCATTCATGAAGTTAGCAACATTATGGATGGTTTCTAAAGAGCAAAAGATAGGCCCAAGGACCTAAACTGGATTGGAATCCTGGCAGGGATTGATGGAAGGTTTGTAATTCATTGTTCCCTTGATGCAGTTCCTCCCAACTTGTTATTAACTGGGGGAAAAAACATTCACATTATTAATAATTGTGGGAAGGGTATCCCTCTGCTTGGCCAGCATCACTTACACCTGCAAGGGACTCGAGGCTTGATAAATGCTCCTTCATGTTAGAAGATATCCATGCACATAGAATATTGGCCCACCTGATACATAATTAGGCTAGAAATCATTTCTCAGATGGGCTACTTTTCTTGTTTTTTTTTTTTATTTATTACTTGAGAGAATACTCAAACCTAGGATCTTCCACTTGGTTCCTTAAGTGATATCTTCCTAGGAATTCTGCTCCATAGGTATATGTATGTATTTATTTACATTTATCTGCAGCTTCTTTGTGAATGCTGTGCAATTTGAAAATTAATAGAGATATTAGGAAGCAATAGAGACAATAGGAAAAAGAAACCAGGAATCAGTTCTGGTATCTCTCTTTTGTACTGTTACATCATAAGCCAGTGTTGTCCAAACTTGGCCACTTTAAGATGAGTGGACTTCAACTCCCAGAATTCCCCACCATGCTTGCTGGGGGATTTTTGGGGGTTTAATTCCCCCCACTTTAAAGGGCCCAAGTTTGGAAAAAATTGCTTTTTATGTTAAAAAAAAAAAAAAGG